AAAAAGGAAAAGATCCACTCACCTGGAGTCCACGCTATACTACTCTAGCACGCGCATCGAGGCGTCCTGAATGATCAGTCCCTGCCACGAAGTCCAAAAGTGGACGGAAGATGGTCAATTTTGCCCACGAAGCCGGCGGGTGCCTAAAACTTCCCGACGTCGATTCGTCGTCTACGGTGGTCCAACGGGGTCAAGGTTGGTTGGGTTTTGCTCCTGGGATGATGGGCTACAAAGCCCCAGTGGTGGCATCGGCCATCGCTTTGCCGATTTGCCGGAAAATGGAGAAGGGTGGCCGGAGCACCATTGATTTTCGTCAACTTTCGTGGCCTCAAACCTCCACATCCCGTGGTCAATCAAGGTGGTTCTTGGGTGGGTTTTGTAGAGGGGAATGAGAGCTTCAAAATGGTGGTGGTGGCATCGAAAAACTCCACCGGAGTTGGCCGGAATCGGCCTTGGAATATGGCCTCGCGGTGGTGCGGGTATGGGTGCACGGGAAGCCTTTTTCCCCTTTTTTTTTTTTTTTTTTTTTTTTTTTTTTTCTTTTCTTCTTTCTTTCTGATTGGGCTTCCATTAATTTAAATAAACACTCACCTTGAATAACCAATTTCGAACGTCCGTAACTATACCGTTATAATTCGGACTCGCAAACGGTTTTCGCCTATACGTTCGTACCAATGAGTACTACGAGGATATGCTAAAAGAATAAGTCCCACATCTCTCAAGTCAATGGTCAACAGAAGTCAAAGTCCGTGCCTCTAGGGCAATTTCGTAAACTCACGCTTTTAAAATAAATTAAAAATGTAAAATTTGGAACGGGTTGTCACAGTGGGTACTACCAGTCGTACAAAAAGACAAACGTATATAACTATTTTCATTAAATGCTGTGCAGTTATATAGGTTTAATTAAATGTATTGCGGTTACAAAGAGGCAAACAAATAAAAGATATAAATTATTTAATTAAACTATTTTACGTGTTTGACAAAAATAAAAGATATAAATTATTGAGAAATTTTATTTGAACCCATTTAACATTTTTCTACATTCAATTTACTCTTTACACCCATATTATTTTTAACTAAAGAATTAATATCTCTTTAAACCCAATTTTATTACCTAAATTATCCTATCAAACCCAATTAAAATGTATATTTATCTTTGCACCCATTATAAAATAAAATCTCAAAGAAACTGAGCTTTTTGTTTTTCAAATGTCTCTCTGCATTTTTTTGCTTCCCTGCATCTTACTTGATTTTTTGGTAAAGTTTCAAATTTCTACTAGAGCTGCGTACAACATTATAGCATTTTTCATGGCTATTGTGTTTTATTTATTTGTGTTTCGGTGTTTGTGTGTTTGTTTTTCTGCCGCAATTATTTAATTTTATTTGATGAAAGAAATTCATCAAACCTGCACTCACTAACATGCACTATCCCAAACAATTTATTAGAAGGATAACAAATGTCAATCAGAACGACAACAAATTGTAATATGAAGTTGAAGTGAAGGTTTCGTATAGGAGGACAGACTAGCATGGCAACAACTTTCACTTTCTGATATGCCAAAGCCAAACAAATTACAAATACTTCTACTTTCCATATAAAAGGTCTTATATATCAATACTTTCACTACGACTATTGTAGAAAGTTTAACAAACTATGTGCAGCCTCATTGACGAAAAATAAATTGAAACCCAAATACTCATCTTCTACGTTCTAAAAAGAATTGAAATCAAATGAGCAAAAATTTCGATAAACCAAGTCATATCTTTGTTGGAGAATTTAAAACTTAAAATCACCATCTATCGATAAAAAAAAAAACTTGCTTTTCTCCATAAAAGCTATTAGGGTTTTACTCAGACTGAATACAGAATAAACATTGAGTGATAGTAAGATTTAATTATAGTGTGGGTTTATTGATAAATTTTAATTTTATTATAAATTTCATTTTGTACTTAATGATAATTACGTAATATGATAAAAATGATAATGTACATTTAAAATTTAAATTAGGTGTAAAAAGAAATTACATATATTTAAATAAAATTTCCTTAAACTATTTTACGTGTTTCCAAATGTTGTCCTTTCCAATGGCAGGCTCTTACACGTTATTCACCCGTCTGCCACTGAAGACGCCATTTTCTGTCCAACTCGCGTGTGTTAGGCAATGCCGCCAACATTTATCCTTGAGCCAAAATTGAACTCTTCTTGCAGCTTCCTTATTTGCAGACAAAACGGAATCGGAGTCGTCTTTCATTGCAAGTAGCAATTTCTATCTTATTATAATCACAATTTCATATTACAGAGAAATTTTTCATTATAACGGAAACATAATTGATATATCACGTATTTTAATAGAAGTGATGAAAAATTTTATTTTTTAAGTTATTAAATTTTTAGCATAAATATTTCATTATTTGTACAATAATATATAATATACTATTTCGTGTACCGATCATATTAAAAAATCTCTTTATGAGCAGGACCACTACCACCGAATATCGTCCTACTTCGACACGTGGCAACCGCGATGCGCCACTGGGGTAAACTGACGAAACTGCGCAACCCGAATTGAATTTAAAACTGTCTTTGCATCACGAGGTGCTGGAGGCCCGTCTCGAATCTCGAGGAAGAGAGTTGTCGCGCGTGGTCCCCCCAACATGTCGGTCGCTGTCGGCACAGAAACGAGGAACCGAACTCTCCGTCTCCACCAAACCCTTGTTTGTGATGAAATGACCGATATACCCCACATTTTCCTGGAGCTACAAAAATTGCCATTGTATTTTTAAATTCCTTTTGTTATCTATATGTGGTTTGGTTTGAACCGCACTAGACCGTTATATTGTAATTGAAATTGTCCTAGTGTTAAGTAAAATTTATTTATTCTGGATTTATCTCTTGTAAATAATTAAAAATGTTTTTCATTATTGGAAGCACTTCTGAATATACTTAAAAGGATAATACTATGTACATCAAATTTTCAAACTAAATTTGCAAATCAAATAATATATTATCAATGGGGAATAAACACGTCAATCAACGCTTAAATAATATTTCAATCATCAACAACTACATCATTTGGTTACAAAATTTGATTTAAAAATTTAATTTACCTAGCATTACCCATACTTATAATTAGAAAATAAATAATTCATTTGTAGCGCAATAACAATATGGTGCTATAACAACCTAGTCTTGTACTTTTTTTAGTAAAACGGTAATATTTTATTACCTAGAGATGAATTTAGGCTAAATTGCACAATTGTCTAGCTATGATAAAATAGAATTCTGATTTGGACTTAAGATGTCTTACTTACAAATGTACAAGTGCATTAAGTATATCACCAAACTGTTGTTGTACTAGTAGCTTTTCAACCCTTCGCTCGACTTCTTCCCAAGCAGCAGTTTCAGCACCATTTTCTTCCTTTTACTCGCACCCAAGCGTAGATTCCTTGCTGCAAGCAAATTGGGCACGTCCAAGGCCATTACTTTTTAATAAGCGAATCAAATTGGACTCACAAGCAACTGGAGGCAAATTATCCCGAATCAAGATCGGCCTACTTCTACTAACCTCCTCAAAATCAGATTTCAACCGATCTAAGAATGAAAGCGCCTCAGATGCAAAAATCACCTGTTCTTTCTTCCAACAAAACTAAAACTTTTGAATCAGAGATTCAATGGATGAAGAACAAGATGGGATTTCGATTCAGAGTCGAGTCTAGGAGGAGATGCATACTAAGTTGGGTCACAGATTCGACCTGATAGTTGCATTTGGCTAGGGTGACAAAGAAGTCGAGGTCGTGGGTGGAGTGGGATGGGATGGTAGCTGCTGACTCGATATTGGCTGGAACAACTGAATATGCCAATAATTATGAGTTTCATGTTACTTTTACTCATACTAAGATACATGTCAGATCTAGGAAATCCCAATTTGATTGAATGGGACGACAGTTTCTCATTCAAAATCAATAAAAATAAAATTTTGATCAAATCACACATCTGAGTTAAATTATAGATGAAAGTCTTATTTCGTTTCTCGACGGTGAAATAAGACTAAGCTCATGAGCTTATTATCCTAGGTTTGAAGAAGTTGATAGGATCCCATTTTTTAAGTTCTCATGTCCCTTCCTTGTGGTGATGTGAGGCCATGAAAAAGGAAAGAGAGAGAAGGTGATTTATTTGATCATATAGTTTTTCCTCCGAGCATATTGTGCCCTTGAGCTTTCTATTTGAGTGTATCAAAAGACCCAATGAATTGGGATTTCCTTATTAGATCAGGTCATTTTAGAGCAAGAGGATCATTGGAGTAAAGACAACGAAATGAGTGTTTTTGAGTGGTGCAGAGCTCGTATCAAACGACAGAGCGGTGACCCACTTCAATGGTGAGGTCTCTGCCAAATAGAAATATTTTATTTAAAAAAAAAATTCTTTTGGTTTGTAAAATTTTAAAAATCTTAAAAATTTATTTTTATTATTATCCACATTTTTTTTAAAAGGCATTTTTTTTAGTTTTTATCTTTATTCACGTGGCACTAATATTATGGTCGCGTGATGTCCATGTAGGCAGATAACAGAAAACTAACAAAACTTGAGAGAAAGGTTTAACATTATAACAAATTCATAAATTGATGTATAATATTACAATGTCCAAAGATGAGATATGAGTTTATTGCGCGACTTAAAGCTGAAGTTGTAAATATATACCCTTATTTTTATTATGAAATATAATTTAAAGGGCTTTTTCGTAAAAAAACACATATTGAAGGTCTGACCGCCTATTCCACGTGTTTGAATCCTATCTCCTATCATCCTATCATTTTCCCATGTTCTTTCCTCTAAATTTTGTAATACCTTAAAAACGTGCTTGAAAAACCCCCAATAAAAAAAATAAAAACGAAACCCATTAACCAATTAAATCCTTATTATATTCAAAGACAATGGTTGTCGTAAAGATTCAAAGAAAATTGTGAGGCGGCCTTACTTGACTTCCTCATATATGATATATATTCCTCTCCTCCTCCCACCCCTCTAATCCCACCATTAAGCAACGATCACCAAGGTGTTTCATCAAATCTCGCTCTCAATTTTTTTCATCGAAAATTTCCGTCGCCAAAGATATCAGATATGGCAGCTGAAAAGTTGAATTTTTCACAGACATGCAACCTGCTGAGCCAATTCTTGAGGGAGAAGAGAACCCTGCAAGTCGTCCCTCCCACAACAATGAACTTGCTGACGACCATGGAGGCTGCTGCTTCGAACCCAGCCCATCAGGTGGCTCAGACTCCATCATCGAAACCCAGTATCGATTTGTTTCAGCACTTCACCAAAGGCCCAGAAGCGGTTTTGGGAAATCAGCAGCCTGGATCTGTTGCCTCGATGACTGTTTTTTACGGTGGGCAGGTGCTGGTTTTCAATGATCTGCAGGCTGAGAAGGCAAAAGAGATTATGGATTTGGCTATAATTGGAAGCTCCAAGAGTTCTGGTCGGTTTGTGGAGAAATTGGCTTCTGGGAATCAGTCAAATGTTGTCGCTAAAAATAATTACCAGGAAATTCAGAAGGTGCAACCCCAAGCAGCCGCGTCAGATTTGCCTATTGCCAGAAGAGCTTCGCTTCATAAGTTCTTGGCTAAGAGAAAAGAAAGGTAAAACTACTTTACAAAATTATTTATTTTCTGAAAATTTTTGAGCAAAAAGCGAATCAAAGCATGCATGCATGGTTGAATATTTACCTAATTAGGTTATTTTAATTTTTAAGGGTGGCAGCAATAGCACCATATCAACTGAAAAGCCAGAAAGCATCTTCTCCTGCCAAAAGTGACGAGCAAACGAGTTCGAGGGCAGAAGACCAAAGTACAAAGCAGCTTGAGCTCAGGCTATAGAGATATAATTGTCTCGCAGTTTTTATTAGATTTAGAGTTTACTATGATATATAGGGGTTAATTTCTGGGGGCTTATGATTTCCTGTGTGTTCTTATAAGCAAAACTTATTCTTCCATCTTAAATTTTGTAATTATTATTTCTATCAATGAGATTTGGATCCATAATCCATTTCTGCATATTGCCAGTAATCGGTAAGGAGGATTCTACGGTACCTTACTAAAAAATAATGTATCGATAGCCTTTAATAATACTTTAAAATTATCTTAAATTATTGATTAAGTTCGGTGAATGATCTTCACGGTTAGATACAATTTTTTTTATTAATAAAAAGGCTTCTAGTTAAAATGGTTCTTGATATTCAATCGGATTAATCTCTGAGTTTGTCTATCATCAATCATTACAGTTATTATTTATAAAAATTTGTTAAATAATGCTCAAAATAACAAAAATACCCTCAATAAATAATGACCAAATTGAGGGTATTTTGTCATTGTATCCTTATTTAATGGAGATTTTTTATAGAATGATCGAAACAATTGATGATGTACAAATTCAGGAACTACTTCAATCGATTTCAAATCTCAGGACCAAAGTGAAGGGTGTACCAATTTTAGGGGTCATTTTGGATAAAAGCCTAATAAAAATTTAAGATTATCTTAGACGATTGATTAAGTTAAAGAAATTATGCAAACCATAAACATTTTTTTTTTTTGGAGAAAGTGTAAACCGTAAACATTAAACATTAACAATTATCTTAGACCAAAGATTAAGTTCAATGAATTATCTTATATCATTGTTTAATTTTTTTATTTTTTATAAACGAGATACCTATGTGGCATTTTGTGTTCGTTTTTTTTGTGTGCGTCAAATTCACCAGTTCTTACCAATAGCGTGTTTCTTCATCTCCAAATCGAGTTCCCACATTTGACGCCAACTTCTCCAGATTTTATCGTACGTGCATGCGTTTGTTTTCTTTGTCTGCAATTGTACTCTTTAGATCATCTTTCTCTTCACATCTTGTTCTAATTTTGTTTTGTGACATGGCTAACATCGAAGAATACTCCAACGCGATGATTTTGGTTACGGTAGAGAGTTCAACGGTCATGATTGAAGACTACATTGATGGTTTAGGAGATTTTGATGAAGGCTTGTACAATTATGACAAAATGGATTACGACAGCTGTGAAGGTGAGGGTATATCAATCAATATGACTAATTAGGGTTGGGGTTTACTGTTTTCCCCTTGAATGTTATAATTCAACTTTCAGGTTATATGTCATAAGTTCACTATAACGTATTTTAATACAGTTATATCTTATTCGTAGCCTGAACTATTCTTTGATATTTAATTGTGTACATGGATCCAGCAATATTAGGATTGTGTTTATAGATGTGGCTTATTTGGTAACAATTTTTATACATAGCCAGTGGTGGATTATAGATTATGACGACTGTAAAGAAGTTGTGGCTTATTTGCCAATGGTGGCTTCTAACCTCAAATATTCATATCAAAAGCAGGTAAAGTTACTGCCTAAATAGCACTGGTTAACGTTCTTCTTAATGAACCTTATTGCCTCTACATACCCAAACAAGTGATCTTCATTTTTCTGTTTAAGCGTCAACCAAAGGTCCTAAAATAATTAGCAGCTAGCTTACCAAAAGTAAACAGGAGGTAGTCCAAACTCTTATTGTTAAAATCCACTTGTTGTCCAAGTGAAAAATGTTGTACTGCTGAAATAGTAATGCGCACTATCAACTTCTTTCAGATTCCATGGGACCCTCTCAGATTCCACGAGCCCTTTAGCCTAACCCTCGGTTGGAAACGGTTTTCGGGCTATTTTCGGCCCTCTGGCCCTCTGGACTCTTCGGTTGGAGATGGTCTTAGATGCTCTAAATAATACATTAGGAGGAAGTGAGTCATCCAATATGTTTCACCTTCAAACGAAATTCTATGTTAATCTCACTCCTAAGTCCTAAGGTAGTTCTAAAATAAGGAAAGAGATCATCTCCGGAGCTATTCCTCCAAAGTCCATGGATCAAGTGATCCAAGCTCTTGAAATTTGATCCAATGGTTAAAAATTATTATGACTTTTAAAAGTTTTTTCTACACTACTACGAAATGATATATTTATGCGACTTTGTTATCTAATTTCATTGCATTTACTTCGTTAATTTCTATTTATTTTGGTAATTTATGTTATTTTCGTATTATTGTGGGTCCAATTGGTAAAGATGACAATAAATGGCCAAATGGAGCAATTTGGAGCAATTTGGAGCAGTTTTGGACTTGGATTGGATATCACGTGTGGAAAGCATATGGGCTGGACGTTTTTGGTGTTTAACATGTGCTAAACGTGTGCTAAGATGTGGAGGAATCAAAGTTGAAGCTTGGAAGACAAGAAAATACATTATCTTATCGAACCTTATCCAAACTTATCTCATCTTATCCAATCTTATCTTATCTTATATAACCTTATCCAACATTACCCCATTTTATCCAACATTATCTCATCTTATTTCCAGCTGCAAAATGAATCCTTATCACATTTTAAATAATTCCCATCTGATTCTAGGAGTCCTAAGATAATTCAAACACCCTAATCCTTTTTCTCCTTGGATTCAGCCGTGCCCTTTGCCCTATATAAACAAGTTGTGCCCAAAATATCAGGAGGGAGAGATTGTGCCGCAACTTACCATTCAACCATTGGAGTTTTCAGAGTTCTTTCTATTCTTGTTTAGTTTTAATGTTTATTTTAGATTGTTTTTCAGTTATGTTGAACATGCGTAACTAAATTTCTTTTTAGCTACAGGTGAATTCGAAGCCATGATCATATGTTTTATATGAATTAATTACATCTAGTTATTGTTTCGTAAAATATGATTGTGATTTACTTATCTGTTTTATAGAAAACTTATTCTTGTTTGTTTATTAAGGATGCATACTTAGTATGCATGTAGGGAATTGATGTTAGAATATAAGGGAATTTCACCTAATTGTTATGAACTTATATGTCCAAGTAGTAAAAGTCACTAGTCATGATTGAGTTAAGTAAATTCCTGGCAGGAGTATTATGCTTTTCATAGTTACGAATGCTTTGTCAATGCTTATGATTTTCACAGAACTTAATGATCTTTGAGATGTATCTCTATCATGCTTTTCATAGTTAGGGAACTTGAGAAGAATAATTTGGTCACGTTGCTGAGTCCAATTCAATGAACTTAGGAAAGTTTGAGAAGAGAATTAATTAGTGCATTCACAATTAATTTGGGGCATTGTCATTCATGGTTTATAGAAATAATAATTGGAAATCGATTTATGTGCATATGTTTCATGAGTGGAGAAGAATCCTTTAGCTAGCTTTTAACCCGTATTCCCTTTACAACTCAATTTAATTGCTGCTATTTACTTTTGTTTCTTAAAATTCGTCAAAAATCCCCCTTCGTTCTTATTTTCTGTTAGTCTAGTTTAGTTTTCAGTTTTTAAGTTTAATTTGTGTTGATTAGCATCTCTCCTAATCCCCGGCCTAGAACAATCCCTACTTGCTCATACTACAATTGTCTAAATTATAGGGTTTAATTTGTGTGCTAGTTTTTAACACATCACGAAATCATTTATTAGTGTCTATGAAAACCGACAAGAAACGTATATTGCTTATACTACAATTGTCTAAATTATAGGGTTTAATTTGTGTGCTAGTTTTTAACATATCACGAAATCATTTATTAGTGTCTCTATGAAAACCGACAAGAAACGTATATTATTAGATATTTAGCAAAATCCGATAGAAAATGGATGTAGTGGCGGATATAATAAGCGAGAGAATTGCCAGAGTCAGGAAATGAATTTTCTGTCGGTTAAGGCTCTAAAACCGACAGAACTTGTGTCAGATATATGCGACAATAAATACTAAATTACTGTAGGATATTATCAATTAATGTCATTCGTGACCGCTAGGAAATTAAAAATACCGTCGGATTCACATCATGTTCCTGTCAGTTCTAATCGACAGATACATTTAAAAAAAAAATCTATTTATTTTCCGTCGGTCACAACTAATAGAACAATATTAATAATTAAAAAAAAAAAATACAAAACCGTGATGCCTGAGGGCTGAGTGGTGGCCGCTGCATTTGTGGAATAAGCAACATCAATATTTGCTATTGCTACATCATGATATGTTGGTTCATCGCCTGCTGCTACTGGTTTACCTGCTGCTGCGAGGTCTTTGATTGCTCAAGCTGAACCGTTACCACCGCCAACTGTCTGGAGGTTTCTTCCTCCCTCCTCCTCAATTTGTTGTTCTCAGCTAGGACCTTGGCCAATGCACCCCTGGATGATTTCCTGGAAGAACTAGCACCTGAAGATCTTACATCGATGTCTTGCAATATAATATTTAAACAAAATAATAAAATATTATTAAGAGTTGAAATATAGAAAGATAAATAAGGTTCATAAAAACATAGATTCATCAATCCAAATAGAAAGATAAACAAGGTTTATAAAAACACAGATTCTGTGTTTAAATAATATTTTGTTTAAATAATGTGTTCTAAAAAATACAATATTATTGTTTAAATAATGTGTTAGAACACAGATTTATCAATCCAAATTGAAAGATAAATAAGAATGAAATACAAATAGTCATAATCTGAATAGAGTTATAAAACATTTACTCCTCTCTGTTGTGATGATTCATCTATCCAAGAGTCATCTTTCTGAGTATGGGTAGCTCCAAAAAAAGAGATGGGACCTGGCTCATTTCCATGCTTGTTCTTCTTTAAATATGTTAAAAGAGAACAACAAATACATATTAACTACATATGTTACAAATTAGCAACACATACAGATTCCTCATGCACCCGAGCACAAGTTTTTGAACCAGTTGTATGGTTCATAGTTTTTAACTCTCAATTATATTTGTTTTTCTCCGCCACCTCCTGAAAAGTAAAAAAAAAAAAAAATTATAAGACAAACATCTTTGAATACCAAATATCAAATCATTAATTGTTTGGTATAATATTCCGGTATTCCTGGAATTCATGAAAAACAAACATTTGTTATGTATTTGAAAAACAACAAAGAAAAAACTCACAATATAATTACTTTAAAATGCACCGTTTTCAGTTTGTTCTTGGAATTCATGGCCTTCATTTTGTTCCTCCATAGAAATGGCTA